TTCTTTTATCAGTTGTTATTGGCTTTGAACTAGCTGTCAGTAACTGCGAGTACTCTCCGATCTGTACTTAGTGTCCCTTTTGTTGTTAGGGATGAGGGATGTATAGATACCCTGCCACGTCCGGTCTGTGCTTATGTTTGAGGTTTTTCTGCTTTGTATCGATCTGATGAGTTAAGCCTTTTTCAACTGATTTTTATAGTTTGTTCTTATGTTGTGTTGTTACACCACTGTCCCAGGTTACGGGGAGGGTTGAGCGCTCACAAACATGTTTAACCCCGCCTCCTCCTTTATGTGCCCTTCCCAAGTCAGGAGCCTGTAGTTCAGTGGTTGTCGTTGGTTCATGTCTGTAATATTTGTTTTTCGTTAATTGTTTTGTTATAAATTAGGCCGTTAGTTTTCTCTATTGAATTGTTACATATTTTTCATGTCGGGGTCTTTTATAGTCGACTTTACGGTATGGGTTTTTCTCATTGTCGAAGGCCGGACGGTTGTCTATAATTGCTTACATCCACTTCATTTGAACTTGGGTGGATAGTTGTCTCATTGGCAATCATACCTCATCTCCTTGTATATGTAAGAGAATGATAATCATTTCTTCATGACTAAGTACGAGCGTTAGCGAGTACTTATCATGAAGTAAGGGATTATCATTCTCTTACAACCTTAGAATATTGTAAAGAGCTCAAGGCTCAAATGATCTCTTAATTGGTTGTATATGTTGTGTACAAGACGCAAGTTTGTACAAATTATGATTTGCACAGGGTTTTTGTACAAGTTATACGTTTTTTGACACATACCTTTTTGCACCAGGTGATAAAAGTTTATCTTCTAAAATTTATCAGCATAATGTCTTAATAAAGGGGCACTAGCTACGAGATATATAAAAAATCTAATATATGATTTTTTTTTGTTCAATCATTAATGAAAGTGAAATAGTGAAATAATTATTCGCTTTTAGCTGCCAGTATGGTTCAATTTTGTCAAAATAAGTTAAGAAACATTGATGATGAATTATTCACTTGCAAGTGAATAATTCGACCTCATTGGATCCGTATTCATGTGAACTTCAATTTAACCCCTTAGCTAGAGATGGATAACACGTGAATTGTATGTGTAAAGTTATTTAAAGGAAAAGAATGTCAACATTGAAAGTGAAACAAAGGTAAATCATTTGATTGAATGATCCGATCCACAAAAATCATTCTTATACAGGTAAAAACGATGATAAACATATATTCTTAATCTATAATATACAGACCTAGAAAAATCCAATAGCACGAGTTCGCTTAATCTATTTATATCTTTATTTATGTTTACATCGCTTATATGGTCATCGGATGACTTTGGAGGTCAACTATCGCGATAGTTAATTAGATGGCGTCTAGACTACTGAAATACACACGAAACGAAGCTATGTGTTATCATGCCCAGGTCCTGTTAACTGTTTATTTTAGACTTTTAATAGTTTGGATAAATGTTTTACATTGTTATAAATCAAATATGAGAATTTGAGTCAAATCGGTGAACATGAATTTGACAGCTAGTGCCCCTTTAATTATGATATCTATCTTGATTTTTTAATTCTACCCTAGTACTATCCTGAATGATATTTCACAAATAATGAAAACCTCTTTTTCACCCGTAGTGATAAAAGGGTTGCGTTTTGTTTTCTTTGTCATATTTATTGACCAATTTATTATTTTGTATACTATATCATGTTGCTCTTGTTGCACACAATGTGTGCCCGAGTGTATTAATAAACACAAACACGATATTAATGAGTAATCGAACAAACCATTAAATAAAAAATAGTATATGTTAATGATAATATTTTATACCAATAAAATCAGAAGTAGGTTGCCGCTATTCAGAGTTGGTTCGTTACAACTTAAAAGTTGAAACATGTCAATATGCTAGACCACCAGAACATCTCGTTTGAATATTTTTTGGGATAGTGGCCAAATTGGACATGAAAAGCACTTTCTTTTTAATTGTTGTTTTTACTCTGATATCAGACATGAAATCTATGCCAAAGTCCGTCTTTTAAATGTTGATTTTGATTATCTATGTGATATTGAAATACTCAATTATCTTATGTGTAATGAGAATATGGTACCTCTTTTAGCTAGCTCCCTTTATCCTACGTTTTACCGTAGAAAACATGTTGTAATCTAGACGTTTATATATATAATTATAATTTTTTACAAGTAAAATTGTTGCCTTTGAGATTATGTATTAGATGTCTATTTTAATGATAGTGTCTCATAAGTTGTCTTCGGCTTGCATCCGTTTACGTAATGTTAGGTTCTTATGGCTTTGTGTATATATATAGATATTGTAATGGATGGTGACACTTTAGTTTATTTACAAAGAATAGAATCAGTGACCATTATTTACTTATAGAAAAGGGCAGATATCTGAATATACCCCGAAACCAAAGAATATGTCTAACTTGTAAAACCACAGAAGATGAAAACCACTTTCTCCTCTACTGTCAAAATAATTAAAGATTACGTATTTAACTTTTTAATGACATCCTAATAGATAATCCTATATTTCCAAATCTGTCGAATATTGAAAAACTAGAAAGCATGCTGAATCCTTCAAATATATTGTATTTATATATATATATATATATGTATTCAGATCAGTTTATTTTATTTTTTGTAGTTATTCTTTGTATTTGTCACAAATATCATGTTTTACTTATATGGCAATAAAGAATTATTTAATAAAATAAATTATCTTTCAAAACAATTAAGGTTGACTGTAGAAATAAATCCCCGATTTCTTATCCTTATGTTTTTTTTTAGTTGACTCTACCATTGAAAGTATTATATATATTCCATTTTACTTCCATGCTCTACCTCATCAACTTACAGTGCTAAATAAACCTTTCACTAATTACTCGTTAAACAAAACAAGTTTTTAAAGCTGATTAATCATAATTAACAATCTAATCACATGGCATGAATGTAATTTGACATGTTGATTACCCCAAGCCGACATTAAGAGTTCAGTATGCCATCTTCGACACCTTAAGTTTGTCTCTGTATGCCACTACAACCTGGCATATCAAAATTCAAAATGTCAAAAGTACAGATGACTTTTGTATATAAATTCCACAAAGTTTTAGATATTTCAAAGATATTTGATTTCGATAGTCGAAAACACACGTTTAAATACCAAGATGGCTTTATTTACTAGTACTCCTAAATCTAAGCTTGGAGAAAAGGTTTTGTTGCTGAATCTGGACAAGAGCGACGACGAGGGTTCATCTGGCTACGATTCTCCTGTATATGTCTCCGATGAAAACAAAGACAAGAAAACAGCTCAAATGGTTGCCGCTGATTCATCGGACGATTCAGATTTCTCATCTAATGAAGCAGATGATGATTCCTCAGACGACGATTTAGACGATTTAGAGGATATAGATGACATACAGTCAACCAATGATTCGATGAAGGTTATAAAGATACAGGCTGTGGTTGATAATATTCGCTATATTCTGTCCATGCCGGACTTGTGTGACGTCATGTTTCTTGTTGGACAACAGAGAATTCCAGTGTATGGATTAAAGTCGATACTTGGAATAAGGAGTCAAGCTTTCTTAGACATGTTTGTAAAGCAGTCGCGGGAAGACATGAATACCAAAAAAAGGTCGAAGAAATCCAAAGATGAGAAGAAAATCGGAAGTAGCACCAAGACTACAATAATAATTGATAGTTACGACATCGAAGTGTTCCGTTCATTTTTATTGTTTTTGCACTGTGGATCAGTCACCATGGATGCTTCGACTGTTGTTGGACTTCTTTGTAGTGCTGTTGAATTTGACATTGTTGATTTGAAGAGGGCATGCTGGGAATTTGTAGATACATGTTTGTCATCTGTTAGTACCGAAATCGTTATAAAAGAAACATTTCGTTATGATGACCATAGTGCTGCACAGAAACTCCGACATATTGTCCTGGGTCAAAAGAATAAGACAAAACTCCAAGACAGACGTTCTAAGCTACGCCAGTCTCCAATTGGAAAAGAATCTGAAGTTTAGAAGATTTTTTGTTAAAACTGTCTAGTGCTATAGATATACACACATTTTGAACTGATATAAAACAAACGTTGTAGTTTGATACTAGTATTATTCACAAACTGCAGATAACATATTATATTAATTTTATTTAATAGTGCTTTATTAAACAATATAGAAAAACTAGTTGGTCTTTAATTGTTTTCGTTACAATCGTTTTAGTTACAATGATTAAGGCAGGGTAGGTCGTTGTTTAAATTCTATCAATTGATGCTTAACGTACATCAACCAATATCTTACATGCATATTTAGGACGATTTGAAGTTAAGGTAGTCTTGGCGTTAATACTTTGCCAAAATGTAGTTTACTGTGCTATTTTCAAAGGTGTATATATATATTTTGATACCAAATAGTATCAACATTTTATTGTAATATATATCAACTGATATGATTTGTGACCAAAACAAAACAAAACCCAAAACATTCTAGCATTTACATATACCAAGAAAAAATCATGTATAATTAAGCAAACATAAACGTATAATTCTATAGTTTTTACATTCAATTACGAGTATTATAGTATAGGTCACAGAGTTTTCAAGCCACAGGTTGTGCAAAAGAGAGGCGAAAGATACCAGAGGGACATTCACACTCATAAGTCGAAAATAAACTGACAACGCCATGGCTAAAAAAAGAAAAAGACCAACAGACAAACAATAGTAAACAAAACACAACATAGAAAACTAAAGACTGAGCAACACGAACCCCATCAAAAACTGGGGGTGATCTCAGGTGCTCCGGAAGGGTAAGCAGATCCTGCTCCACATGTGGCAACCGTCGTGTCATGTTAGTACAAACCCGGTAATAAGATCTAATAAGTTTAATTCGGTAGGTCACATTTGTGCAAAATTCTCATCTTTTGTAAGGAGAATATACATATGGAAAAGAAATACTTAGAAAGACATTAAATGTATAAAAGAATATGAAAAGATTGCTTTTATTGAATGCTTTCTCCAAATTAAAACCAGGAGTGCTAGTATTGCCGTGCAAAGCATACCCTACTCGTAATTTAAAGAATCAAGAAACGAAAGTATAGGTGTCTGACTGATCCAAAAAACTCTCACACGTTACAACTCAACATTGTCAAGCTCCAGACCAAATTTGAAGTCATTCTGTTCAGTAGTTTTCGACGAAAGTGTGACGAAAATGTTGATTGAAGAACGGATGGACTTGGTGGTTGCAATATACCACCATCATTTAGAATGGGAATATAAAATGGGATCACCATTTTCGTTTTCTTGCTGCATAGGAATATAGATAAATTTACATTATTCTCTTTTATGAAACGACATAATCTCAACTTATAAATCAAGACTAAAGTTTTCTATTAATAAAATAGTATTCTGTAGTTGTCAAAGGTTATTACCATAAGATAAACATTATTCAAATGAAAAGTCGTGTAATTAAAACTTGTCATTTTTTTTGAAGCGGGATCAATATACCTGTATTTAAACACCAGACCGTACAGCACTGGTTACCGGAATTTTGGATAAACCAAACCATGCAGGTACTTCATATCTTAGAAACAGGCTATCTATGCCCTCAATTTTAAAATTCATTCATACATTTTTGTATTATTCAAAATTATCAGTAAATTGTGTGTTCTACAAGGATCACCAGTCCTTCACCTTTCATCATGTACTACTTTCTTCTGTTACCAGAATAATTGTCCAATGAAATATCATAATACTTGCGTCTCACTAGAAACCAAAACAACTAAGGATAAGAAAGAAAGTATCGGATTGTCCCAGTCCTTATCAATCTGAAATACTAATATTCGTTAAAATAAAATTGAGATGGTATATCTCCTACTCTTATAAGTATTTTTGTGCATCCTTTTTCTTTCGTTCCATTCACTGCACTCTTGGAAAACAAGTCCCAACAAACACTCTAATTGAATAGATAATATTTGAATGTCTTTCAGTTCAACATTTATTTGAAAACCCTTCACATCTACTTCTGGAAATCCTTCCTATATGTTTCCATATCTTTTACGGAGGTTACACGGATTAGGCCTCTTTTACCAACTCTGGTGAAATCAGCAAAAAAATCTCCCATGACGTCATTACCGACTGTATCAATCTTCATTCCATTCACGACTGTAATTCTGTCGTCCTTGGTTAAGTCCTTATCAAGCTGAAAAAAAAAATAAACATTATATTCAAGAGGTTAATTTTCGGGGTGTTTAAAATTCTCGATTTCTAGAACTAAATCTTTTTTTCTTTTCCCTGATTCCGATCTTCCTTTCAAACCAAATTTACGCGTAGGGGTATTTCGCAATTGTATGGTAATTACGAAATTAGCGAAAATAACTCATTCGCGAAAATTATTGCATGATAAGAAGAAGTTGCCCTAGCTATTTTAGATCCATTTTTGTTTTACTTTAAAACCTGATTACTAAAATAAACTGAACTCAGATTTATTTTTTTCCAGTATAAATGCATTTGATTGTAGAATATAAGGCTTTAATTCAATTTTTGGCTTCTTTGTATGTTTTCTTGTCCATAGGCGGCAAAACGGGATGTGGTTTGGGGTGGTTAGCGTGTTGAGGCAGTTGTGCCAATTGCCCATTTCTTCAAAAGTAGGTGCAATATATTTTGCCATCAGTCGATAACTGTTCAAATTTTTTTAAAAGGCCAGTCAGCTTCAGCTACATCATATTGACCTTCAAAATCTCATAATGTCGTATAGTTGAAGAACTTCAAAATTGTTCTAATTTATTTGCTTATCAAAACATTTTTGATAAATGACCAACAAAATAGTTTCATCTGGCGCTCATTTTTGCCCCTGCCATCTTAAACTGTGGTCTTATGTTCCTATGCATAGCATAGCATTTTTCTCTCTAACTGAAATACTATGCCACAATTATTTACCTTAGGTTTAATAAATATTGCAATTCGAAGTTCATTTACTGCTACGTTCGAATCTTTATATTGCGCCTGTGCACAATTTGATATTCCCATTAGTGCACATGCACCGACAGCAAGCAGGGAGATGTTCGGCGAGAACACGCTCTCACATGACAGTCCGTTTACAAATGTATACGTCGTATCTGAAAAGGAAAAACATATTTCTATATTTTGATAAATAAGAATACAGAATGTATAGGGTATATTAAAAAGTTCGTAAAGGGTTCCGCGGAATCTTCTGTCTCGCCCCTGATTGCTGATGTCATAGTGCAAATTTTGTGCCATTTCTAACTGATGTCGGTGTAAAAGTGTAAACAGTATCTATCATATAGGCATATTTACTTCTAGAATCTAAGTCCATTCAAATGCATGAAAATTAATAAAAAAATTAAAAGCGTTTAAATTGGTTATGATGAAGCTTCAGTCCAAATTTCGATAAGGTTTGACAGATAATTAAGTTTTAAAATCTTTGACTATAAATGTTAAAAAAAAAACGACGTCAGATATTCAGAATCATGGTAGTAATATATACTGTCTGATACCATATTTTGTATGAAGTTAATCAAACGGTAATATCGATGCTATATACGTTTGTATGTGACCCCCTTTAGGATTTATTTTCACAGTCACTATAAGTTAGACCACCATAATTACTGTAACAGAAAAATTACCGTTATCATTTTTTTACATTAGAATTGCATTAAAAAATTGCACTAGCTCAACCTCCGGATACGACCTTATAATAATACAAAGATAATAGAACATTAAAAACATTCTACCTTTTTCTTTTGCCAGGACGGGTAGAAATGTCTTGCAACAAATGAAATGGGATTTAGCTCTCATGTTCATCTGGTTATCGAATTCTTCCACACTCTGTTCTGTCAATGGACCTTCCTGGAAATTTCATGAAAAAATAATGATATTTTATACACACTGCTGCTACATCAAACACAAACTTCAAACCAGGCGGTATGTATAATTTGTCCTTTCTGTCGGTATTAAAATTGTGGGTATATAAATATTTTTTTTAGGAGTATATTTTCTATTGATAATTTACTTTTATAATTATAACGTTCAAAATCTGAAGCAGGTTTAAATCTAGGGTAAGGGACATAACTCTAAAAAAAATCACTGGTACGTTTATATCAAACGATTTTCACAAAGTACACTCTAAGTAACATATATTATTTTATTTCGGTTTCTTTTAAGTGCTTTAAAAACATTCATGTAACTGCCTGTACAAAACGATTTACTGATATAACCCTCAATTCAGGTCAACCTTTAATAATAATATAAAAAAAAAGAAAAAAAAAGAAAAAAAATTAGGTCATTTATTGAGACGGTTGGAAAACTAAGGGGACATATGGTAAAATAAAATTATCTTGGTAGCTTATTTGTGATAGAATACAACAGTTTGAAATCTGTTTTAAGCTTAATGAATTGTTTACCTCCCACCAGGCACCAAAGGCTGACAACACGTGATGAACGCCGCCATGTTGATCCTGTAAAATTTTAAGAATTTTCTTTGCGCCAGCTTCAGTTGCAACGTCTTCCTGTAGAGAGAAGATTTTAAAAAGTAACAAATATTCAAAAACATCGTCATGTTTCAAAAGCGATATATTTCATAAGGCCTATATCATGTATAAGTCAAAATAACTGGAATGAGGTCATAGTATTCTATAGTATAATACAGATTTTTAAAATCATATGGGTAGAAATTGCCTACTTTGTATTTTTTTTTACATAGAGTAGATTTGTCTTTTATAAAATTAAAACAAATGCGAGAGTCCGACTGGCCAATATACATTCAATTCATTTCCATTTCATAAACTACAATGTACTGTTAAAACTCCATCAGACAAAGTTAATCTTTGACAGTTTTGGTCACTGATTTTTATGATCACAAAACTTTTTCTCTTCCGGTCATGAAACTTTACTCAGTAATTGGAGTACAAAATTTGTGCTCGAACACCAAATCCATTAATTTGATTGGTTGATATTTGAGTCTGAGTACGATAGTCGTAGTCGAAATTGTTTCAATGATGACCGTGATGATAAACACTTGTCGTGAGCACAGAAATCCGTACTAGTAGTTTCCTCCTAGATTCATTTATCATTTATACCTGATCAAACTTATTATATTTAGCAAATAATTCAAGATGATTTTATTCTTCACTCCAATTCCGTTTGTTGGTTTGTTATACAGCACACACACATAACAGAGCTAGCATACAAAACTCACCGCAATAAGTATCAGATTTTTCTGTAAGTCTTCACTGAAACTCTTCTTCAGATCATCTAAGCGCTGTTGAGACCTTGAACTAACAGCTACCTAAAGATCAAAATTAATATGTTTTATATATAAGTCAGTCACTGAAGTCTCCGTGTGGATCCTGAATCGTTTACCTGGTGCGTATCTTGACTAACCTGGTTGAGCGCTCCTATGCAGGCTACCTTGACTCAATAAGAAAAAAAATATTCATTTATTTTGAACAACTCCATTCAATAGTTGATTTTAAACATAGATTGCACTAAAAAAAGTATTATGTTGACAAAACAAAAGTGCGGAATCTTCTAGAAGTGTTCTTACTTTAGACAATGACCCAATTATTATTCTGTGCTATTGCATTATTGTAGATTATATATGAATTACTAGTGGAAAATATTATCAGTGGATATCTGACGGGTGGACTTTTTTATTTACTATAACTGTTGGATTTACCAAACTATAAACTTTTGAGTTACCGTTATTCATTGGACACACTTGGATTACCAACTTTGAAAATACTTTGGGAAATTATTCAATTGGAATCAGTGAAGCATCCAGGAGAACTAATTTTGAACTCGTTGAACATATATGTCTGGAACTGTTTTATTTTTTTGTAAACCTGTAATTACGAACAAAGAACAAAAATGGATGCTTTTCGGGTATGGGTACAAATTTGAGTCATGGGACAAACTGGCAATTTCGAATTAATAAAAAACAAAGTTGATAAAGTTATGACATACCTTTGCTCCTTCTTTCAGTAAAGACCTAGCGCATCCCGATCCGACAATACCTGTACCACCAGCAATGAATGCAACTCTGCCTAAACATAGAAAGACTGAGTTAAAGTGGCAATTACATGTATATAGGATTAATGTATTGAATGAACATGCCAACTTTATAAGTGCTACTAAACTGACTGAATACAAATTTTGTAGTTACTACTACTTATTAGACAATAAAAAAATGATAAATCCTTAATAAAACTCGTGGCTTCATTATAGGGGAGTTTGTTGTTGTGTTTGAATTAAAATAAAATGGTTTCAAAATTGTTATTATTCTCCGAAAGATATTTGTCAGTAAAAAATGCATGATCGTGATGGTGTTTTTGAAACATATTAACATTTTTTGGCGGGAAAAAGAAGTTCTCTTGATTTTTCATATATTCATTATGAAAATGTTTTTCCTGTCAAAATCTTTAAAAAATATCAAGGATATAGATGAAAAGGTATTAAAAGAAATTATAAAAGTGGGGTTAATGGACCAAATTGTCAAAATTGCCACAGAAGCTAAAATAAAGGAAAGTAAACATGATTGCCAACATGACCGATGAATATAGTGTAGACAGTGTTCGTGTGAAGGAGGGGCACTCAAAGTCCCTCTTTTCTCATCTATACTGAAGCCTTTTATCAACCCCTTCTCCCAGTTTTATATTGTCTTCCATTTTCTCCTTCCAATTTTCTTTCTTTTTACTTAAAAAAAATTAAGCAAATGAAAAAAGTGAACAAAATTCAGTCTTGCTTATTCATAAATTATATTTTATTTTCAATTTCGTTCTTAATGATAAACTTTTTGAACATATTCAATGTTTTGTGAAAGATATATTAAGAGATTACAAATGTATTGTTTCAAATAAGGGTTTAGAAATAGATCACCCCCACACAAAAACACATTACAAACTGTCTATACTATTTATTGACAAAGTGCAAAATTGTGGAAATTTGAAATTGCATTCTTAAGCCTGATCTGTAGACATTGTGGTTAATATTTATCTGCTGAAATATGAAGCTAAAGATGTACAGCCATAAGAATTACCACAAAAAGATGGAAAGGATTCAATCCCTGAAAGTCCCGAACTTGCAAAATTATCCGTTTTTCTGCTGAAAGTGCGTTACCTTATTTTTAACATGTCTGTTGTCGCTTAACAGTCAGAATAAGCCCTTAATTGTCCCCACAATTTGATAATCATTAAAAATCCGTATTTTTTTTTACTATTAATTGCATTATTTTTTTTATCTATTAATATTTCTTTACCTAAACATGTAAAATTTTCATTTAGATAATTATTAAATAAGTGTTATTTTTAGTAATATATACATTATGATGCCAATATTTAATGTAGTAGAAGTTAAAAAAAAAAAAAAAAAATGCTTTATAAGTCAAAAATAAAACATTACAAAATTCGAAAAAATATATTGAAAATGAATATGTCATGTATGTAGAGCATTTCTATATGTATATATTTTTTTCAATCACGCCTGAGATAACTGACACAGAGTTTTAGTAATCCCCGATCACGAAAAGATATATTCAGACATCAACCCATTTCGTCAACTCTCAATGATGTAAACAGCATGCTTTAAAGGATAGGCCAATATTTAAAATAGTTTAACTTAGATTTGTTATTTCAAAACTCTCTAATTCTGTATGCATTTGTGACCAGTCAGATAAATTTTGATAAACCCAGTTGATAAAATTTGTCTCGTATAATTTCCCGCCATATCCAGTCAGAACATTTCCATAAAGTTATTAGAGAAAAATTCGATAGTTTTATTTTCCAATTTTAAATGCTCTGCAAAAATAGCATTTATAAGTTTTAAAATTGATCTATATCTCGAGTTGATAAATATCGTAATCAGTTGAGTTGTTTGGTAGAATCTAATGTATTATAAAGTATATAGTTTCACTAGTTAAACATCCAATATTGTCCTTGCTGATTTGTTAGAACATGCAGACAAATCAATCGTTTCAATAATTGTCAAAGACAATATAGTTCGATCAAAAAATCATATTTCATATAAACGGGATACCAGATCAGAATTATATACCAGTTTTAAACAAACAGTACAGTTTGTTGACTTATCAAGTACCTAGTGGCAGATCCAGGATAGAGCGTAGAGGGCGTACAAATCGACAAAAAATATAAAAAAATCTCATGTTTCTCACAATTCATATGATTTTTTAGCATGTTCGCTGTTATCTATTAACTTTTCTTTCTATATTAAGCCTAGTTTTCGAAAATCCTGTCCCGACTCGTCCGCTCCTGAGCAGCCCCCGAAAAAATCAAATGAAATAAAGTATAAACAAGAGAATGACTTGATATAACTGTATTAGACTCATTTCTATTATCTTGAAATTCCCACAATATATGTCATTTTTTTCTACTAGTTTTTTTATTTTAAGTATTCATTAACTAATTACAAAGTATATAATTAGTTTGATGTCACGATAGTTCAATATATACAAGTATGTGTTTAAGTTCAAAATAGAATATAGATGATTGTCAGTGCATTGGGAAAATTTCATTCGAGGTCAACATTTTTGTTGGGAAAATTACAAAGGACAAAGAAGGGGGTATAAGAGGCAATTGCTAAGCCATCCCTTCATTACCAATTACGGTGATAAATGAATAGGACAATATAGTTTGGCCATCTAGTATACAGAAATGACCACTGTAGTGTCACAAACACAAAAAATTACAAATTTGACCATAAATGTATATTTAACTAGACCGTTTGGTAAAATAAAGTATACGTACCAGCCTAACCGAAATGATAATTTATTTAACATTAAAAAATTTCCGACTTCTTTAAACTGAGTTTTACTGTGCGTATTGCTGTGTGTTTGTTTATTCTACATTGGCTAGAGGATAAGGGGAGGGTTGAGATCTCACAAAACATGTTTAACCCCGCCGCATTTTTGCGCCTGTCCCAAGTCAGGAGCCTCTGGCCTTTGTTAGTCTTGTATGTTTTTTAATTTTAGTTCATTTATATGTTTTGGAGTTTAGTGTGACGTCCATTTCCATTGAACTAGTACACATTTTTGTTTAGGGGGCAGCTGAAGCCCGCCTCCGGGTGCGGGATTTTCTCGCTGTGTTGAGGACCCATGGGTGGCCTTAGGCTGTTTTCTGCTCTTTGGTTGGGTTGTTGTCTCTTTGACACATTCCCCATTTCCATTCTCAATTTTATTTGAATTAGACTATACTTGTAGCAATACATCTCTCTGGGTAATGCTGTTAAATAAATATGACAGAATTTCCCCTAGCAATGACCTTAATACATGATTTTTTTTTATTACTAGTATTTTTTATTGGCTTTGAACTAATGTAGCTGTCAGTAACTTCAAGTGCTCTCAGATCTGTACTTTGTGTCTTTTTTTGTTGTTGTGAGTGATTTATAAATTCCCTGCAACCTCCGGTCTTTATTTTTGTTACATTTGTTTTTGCTTTGAATCGATCTGATGAGTTAAACTCTTTTCAACTGATTTTTATAGTTTGTTCTTATGTTGTGCTGTTACAACACTGTCCCAGGTTACGGGAGGGTAGAGCGCTCACAAACATGTATTTACATTGTGTCATAGATCAAATTTATTCGTTCAGTGTATGTTCACTTGTTTTTGTTAATATGTCTTTTGATTGAGTTAAGCCATTTCGATTGATATTTTATAGTATGTCTTTCTATGTTGTGATGTTACAATATTGTTTTAGGTAGGGTGAAGGTTGGCGCCTATTAAAACGTTTAAACCCGCTGCATTTGTTTGCACCAGTCCTAAAGTCAGGAACCTGATGTTCAGTGGTTGTCGTTTGTTGATGTGGTTCATAAGTATTTCTCGTTTCTCGTTTTTCATATAGATTAGACCGTTGGTTTTCTTGTTTGAATGGTTTTACACTAGTCATTTTGGGGCCCTTTATAGCTTGGTGTTCGGTGTGAGCCAAGGCTCCGTGTTGAAGGCCGTACTTTGACTTATAATGGTTTACTTTTACCGATTGTGACTTAGATGGAGAGTTGTCTCATTGGCACTCACACCACATCTTCTTATATCTATTAACCCCACTGTCCCATGTTAAGTTTTCTCAATTTAATTGTTTCATATTTTTCATGTCGGGGCCTTTTATAGCAGACTATACGGCATGGGTTTTTCTCAATGTTGAAGGCCGTAAGTACGGTTGCCTATAATTGCTTACATTTGAGATTTGGTGAATAGTTGTCTCATTGGCAATCTATTTTTATATACAGTATATTGTTTCACTTGTTAAATGTTCAATATTGTTCTTACTTATTTTTGAGAACATGCAGGCAAATCAACCGTTTAATAATTTTAATAATGGTCAAGGATATTATAGTTTAACCAAAAATTCATATTTCAAATACACGGGATACCAGATAAAATTGAAAATGGAAATGGGGAATGTGTCAAAGAGACAACAACCCGACCATAGAGCAGACAACATTTATATAACTGTTTTATGCAAACAGTACAGCTTTTTTACATATCAATCACCCTGTTAGGCTATTGATCTTAAATAAATATTACCGAATTTCATCCTAGCATTCACCTTAAGGTAACATTTTATAAATCAATTAATAAAACTGCTCAAATATAATTGCTGACAAGAACTATTTTTAACATGTTATGCATGATGTATCATATAAGCGTACTATATATAACGAAAATAGGATTTCGATACGGTATTTTTCATTTTAACCTCAGTATTTAACACTAGTATATTTATAGAAAATGCAATAGCAGTGCTCCTGTACTCAAGCGCCTGAAAGGTAAATTGTTTTGGAAGCTGTTAACAAAACGACTTGACACTGTAGCCGATAAAGATTAAATACACATGCATGCTTTACTTACATAAACAAATTATAGATAATAAGTAACTCACCCGAATATTTCATTATCATACAGTTTTTTTTTATCACCGTTTTACAGAAATATTAACACAGGTAGGTATTTTTGTAAAGGGCTAAATGTTAACCCGGTCAATAATTAGAATAACATACCTACGCCGCGGTTGTAGTGAAACGGTTATGTGACTCATTCTAAAAGCAAACACTCCAGAATTGAAATTGTAAAAATACTTTTCCCCTCTAATTTGAAGTATCTCGGTCATTCTGACTGAGATTCTCCTTAACCAGACTCGTAGACAGAGTGTCTCTGAGGGGGTTATTTTGGATCACGAAGCTCTGAGTGACTTCAATCTGCATCTCGATTTTAAAATAGTCTTTTATATAAAATAAGGATCGAGATGTGGTACATTGAATTGACAACGAGGCAAATGATTTTTACACTACAACATTTTTATATTCAGGAATTGTTCGTATCATTGTTTTCACATTAATATGCCTGTACAAAACATTAATGTCAAATTGCAAAAACGTTGGAGAACCATCTTATTTTGCATCGAACTCTTGCTTAATTAATACTATATCCTACAGTCTTATTTTGTTTGATTATCACAATTTATGTCCTTTAAATCAAGATCAATCATTTCGTCATTATTCTTGTCATTTGGATTCTTTAATTAGAAATAAGAAGATTTGGTATGAGTGCCAATGAGACAACTCTCCATCCAAGTCACAATGTGTAAAAAGTAAAAAAATATAGGTCAAAGTAACACAGATATAAATATTCGAAGCATCAATGAAAAATACAATTGCTATTTTTCATTTGCCTTCAATTTTTTTGTGTTTAATTGAGTGTTCCTGATGAATGTAAATTCAGAAAAGCGCTTAAGGGACTTATCATTTTTTATCTGGGAGGGGGGGGGGGGGGGGGGCTGGTCAAAATGCAGGGGGGATCAAGTTTTTTTCTGTGTGTGGAAAAGGGGGGTTCAAATTTTTTTATAAATTCAAAGTGGGGGGATCAATATTTTTAGCACATGGAAATGAGTAGTTTGCATACTTCAAAATATACAAAATGTGAAGAAGAACCGATGATTACAACAGTCAAATGGAAATATATTTTTACCACCATTCATATCATGACAAGTAAGTAAGACATCACATGACTTAAGTGATGTAGGGAGCTGCCATTTTTGTGTCATTTTGTCCCATATAAAATGCATTGGTGCTTCATAACCCGAATAATCCAGTCGTTATACCGTATATCGTGTTTTTTTCGCTAGTGTTTAATTTTCGATTGTTCGCGGCAGCTTAAGAAACGCGAAAATTTGACCCCTCACTGCATATTCCCAGATTTATTGTTTTTTGAAAGTTTCATACATTAAACTGTTGATTATCGAGTCTTTTGTGTTGTATGGTAGATCATAAGAAAGTGTATACTTAATTAAGGTATCTGTTTATATAATAATTAAAATTACTAAAAATACATGGCACACCTTTTGATCAACACAGCAATCAGTGACAGGTTAACAAATGTTAATTAGAGACGATCTATTAATTGGTGTCATAACCCGAAATATTTTGCAGATCTTTGCATCTATGTAAAATTAAAATAAAAATAAATCACATATATACACGGATATTTGTATTTTTAACAATACGATACAGTTATATTTTCACGTGTATTTTCCCACTCAGCAAAAATTATACACAGTGAAAATTTAACCTGCCCATTTTGTCATCATATCGCGAAAAAAATCCGACGCGAAAAAACCCGATATACGGTATTTCACTCACATTTTGTTATAATCAGCTTAATAGTTTGGGAAAAATTAAGTATAAATTAAAAATTAAAATCAAGCCGCATCATGAAAGAAAATAGTGTAGAGCAATAAATTCTCCAATAAATGATCAAATATTCATCTAATCTGCATACAAACAGTTGAATTTTGATACAAAAGTCTAAACTGATGATTCTGAGATGACGAACACCACAAATGTGCCTTTTTGTTTTCATTAAAAGATCCATTTGGGTCCATCATTTTAGACCTCTCATTCCCTCAAAATTTGTACTGTTTAGGCTAATAAAACAAAATTTTGGGGTTACTATGATGATATATCACACATTTATGAATGAAATGTAACAATAAATGAGTAATTGAATTGTTCAAGCTAAATGCATGAACTATTCCATATAAAAGTTTACCGACTAAATGGAGGTTTTTATAAGGCCTAACGTAAAACTTACGTTTACGCAAAAGAGGAACATATACTAGTATACTTTTTACAGAGTTACTTAGGAACAAGTTTTCTTTAATAGTCCAATATAGGAAATTAGAAAAGACTATTTCATGTTTGCAATATTTCCGTGAAATAACTCGGTAAGTGTTTTGCATGTTAAATTTTTGGCATGTTAATGTTTAATAGAGGGGGGGGATCACATTTTGAAATGTTTTTACAGGGGGGATCAAATAAAAATGGTGAAATATTATGGGGGGATCAAGAAAATTTTATATGTTTGATTTCAAAATGACCAGCCCCCCCTCTCAGGTAAAAAATGATAAGTCCCTAAGATGTACCAAATTTCTAAAGTGTTACTTCCATTTTCTAGCACTGGTGTAGATTGCTGGGCGCATAACATTTGCCCGCATTTGAGGATTAAATGTTTTTACGCTTGCGCACAGCTTTTGATTACATTTGCGCGCATTCATTTTATAGGTAAAAGAGGTAAAAAAAAATATCAAATCATTCCATGCTCACTACAATTAGCAATATTATTCAGCACACCCATGTATTTTTTGTATTTCTTGACACCATAAATGGAAAACTTCATAAAAAACTGTTAAATAAATAAATAAATAAGTATATTAATCTACCTGTTTTTACCCGAGTTTACCTGTAAAATGAATGCGCGCAATTGTACTCGACAGCTGCGCGCAAACGTAGTGATTTTTACGCGCAAATGTAATGGTAATGCTCGCAAATGTATTACGTTGAGACTGCTAGTCCCCAATGGTATTATCAGCTCAGTGGTAAGTACTTCGGCAACACACCTTTCTTAAATTCTCCGTGGATAAATTTAGAAATAATTAGGAAACGGAGGTCCCAACTACCTCAGGCAAAGTTGACCTTATATGAATTTGCTATTCTAGTTGTTTTCCATTCGTTTGAACTTTTGATTTTGCCATTTGATAAGGGACTTTCCGTTATGAATTTTCCTTGGAGTTCGGTACATTTGTTATTTTACTTAAATTAGGTCCCTTTTAGTTGTATAGCTCCTCACATATTTAAGTATCTATATACTTTATCTAACTATTTGGGTTTCAGCGTTCCCGGTGAAGGTAAATTCAGAAAAGAACTTCAAACACAACAAATACATAAAGTGTTACTTTTATTTTAAATAAATCGAACTAGTTGAAAGACAATTTTAAAAAGATGTTGCTGTTTTTTTCAACAATTATTGGAATAGGTCGTCTGTATATTTTCACGTGATTTGTGGTCTTTTCAGTGTATACGCTTTGAATATTGCCTAGTGACTTTAATCAGTATTTATCGTTATCTATGCTGCATATCAATCGATTTTGTTGACGTTTTCCCACGAACTTCTCTTGTTTAGCTCCATACATATAAGAAAAATTGGTGTGTTCCTGTGACGCACACATTCATTGGAAATGGAAATAGGTAGATACAATGGAGTAGACGTATTTGCAAGTTATGCCACAATGCTATAGATGATGAATTACACTTCCTTTTGAAATGTCCATCTTATGATGGGAAGCGTTACCATTATTTAAATAAAATTAAATTCAAATATGAAAATTTCAATACTTTGAATGATGAAAAAAAAAATCATCTGATTAATGATGATTGAGAATAGGTATGTCATTGAGATCCTTCAGCAGCTGCTTACATAACTATTTAAAAAAAAAACTGATAGATAATATTTAAGAATAATACTAGTAATAATAACACATGGTTTCAGGCCCGATTTGGTTTAAGTTGCAGTGAGTCCCTTACAAAATTTTGTCAATTTTATCATTACATTATTTTATTTTATCTACATTCAATTTGTATTAAACCTTAATTTCTAACAATCATACTAATCATCAATAACCAATTATTCTGTTATTTTATTTAGTTCCAAATATTGTATTGTATTTTGTTTTATATAAACGATTATTTGATTCTGCTCAGTAATGGGCGCCGTGGTTGGCACTATATAAATAACACATAGCTGAGAGGGTGATAGAGCAGATTGTTACTCCGAGAAAACATTGTCAACTGAGGCGAAGCCAAGGTTGACAATGTCTTTTCGAGGGGTAACACTCTGTTCTATCACCCTCTCAGATATGTGTTAATTAATTTATAATACTGAATGTTCTGTTATTACTGTCTATTAAATTTCAAATTCAAAGTAATAAATTATGTCGTCTCGTACATAACAATCATCCGTATTTAATAAAGCGCACATTTGAGCAAGCGTCTTCGTGAAGGGTAAGAGAGTATTTGCCATGGGATAGAGTAAATTGTCGCCCTCGTATTAACCAATCAAAATCTGGCATTTTGACATGAAGTATAATAAAATAAAATATCTCGTATCTTGTAGTTGTAGTTGTATGCAGTCTATAAAAAAATACATTGAGGTTGAAACGCGAGGAATTCTTTCGCATAGTAACATTTTAAACCAAATATACACAACACACCACCAAAAGCCTGCTGTTTTCATCGTTTGCTACATTATACTCCAAGTCAGGCGCCTGTAATTCAGTGGTTGTCGTTTGTTGCTGTCTATCATATTTGTTTTGTTCATAAATCTGGCCGTTAGTTGTCTCGTTTGAATTGTTTTACATTTGTTATTTCGGGGCCTTTTATAGCTGACTATGCGGTATGGGTTTTGCTCATTGTTGAAGGCCGTACGGTGACCTAAAAACCGACGTAATGCATTGGTTGTATAAGAATAAAACAAAAGGTTTATGTATGTTTATCAATAATTACTTACCTGATTTTTATACCGAAGACCTAAAACATAGATTAAAAATTATTTCAAGAATTACTTTCTCGCTGTAATAGGACAAGATTGTAATTTTCTGATAACTCACCATTCAAACACCGAGCCTTTTTCTGGTCTTTGTCGGCTAGTTTGTCCTAAACTCCTCCTTTTTGTGACCATAATAAT